TCGACCATCACTCTCGTCTTCGACAACGACTCGACCATTACCCTCGTCTTCGACATCGACTATCACCCTCGACTTCGACTTCGACTTCGACCCAGAGATCGACTTCGACCCTCGTCTTCGACTTCGACCCAGAGACTTCGGCTTCGACCTGCAGAGAGGTATCTCTTCATCTTTATTTTTTTTGTTTTTTTTTCTTGTTTCTTCTTTTTTCTTCAGAGGTATAATCTGATGTTAAAATTAGAACACAAAAAATCATATTTAGAACAAAAAAATTAAAAAAATTAGAACCAGGTTATTCAATCATATTTAGAACCAAAAAAAAAATAGATCAAAAAAATTAATAAATTAGGAAATAATCATAAATATTAATAATCATAAATATTATTTTTTATTCTTATAGGAAAATGAGTTCATCAAGCAGTTTAGGTTCATCTGCTGCAAGTGCTTCTGCTCCTTCCATTGATCAATCTGGAGATGAAAAGGCTCCTCTTTGGTGTTGTTGGTTGTTTTTCCTTTGCTTGGATTATGGACTGAATTGGTGTTGGTTATGTTGAATTCAAATATATTAATATTTGTCTTTTAGTTTTATAGTTCTCTTTTTAGTTTTGATATTTAACTTCAATTTGTAGGTTGGATCTTTTAACCATAATTATAAAAAATAAAAAAAAAAAAAAAAAATATCAGCGTACCGCAGCCGTACCCGTACCTTACTTTTTTGGGATTTTGCCGTATCGGCGTACCCGTACTCGTACCCGTACCGTACTCGTACCCGCACCCGCACCCGTGCTTCTTAGCATAAAACCAATTTCACAAGGGTGTGCATTGAGAAGTTATGTACACAGAGATAAAAGAGCGTGTGGAAATAGAATTTTCCATAATTCATGTATTACAGGATATTAGGCTATTTTTCTTTATTCTGATTTTATTTATTCTACCTTCCTAATTTGTAATCTCTCCAATTTATATCTATACAAGGCTAGTCATGAATTATAATTAAGCCATTCCATTCTTTACTTTCTTCTTGCCGGGGGGCAAGGGGACCAACTCCCAAGTAAAAGTCTTAGCAAGAGTAGACAACTCATCTTTCATAGCAAACACCCAGTTTGGATCTAGACAAGCATCCTTATAAGACTGAGGCTCAACATAAGAGTAAATGGTAAACAGAAAAGCACAGTATGACAAAGAAAAACAAGCATTAGAGAAATTCAATCTTACCGACGGAGTAAAATTCATTTTAGCCACTGGAGCAAAAGTCTCCTGATAATCAATGCCACAAGTCTGAGTGAACCTTTTAACAACCAATCTCGCATTATATCTCTCAATAGTCCCATCGGCCTTCTGCTCGATTGTAAACACCCATTTGGGGGTAGAAAAACTAACTCCCAAGTGCCATTCTTACTCAAAGCTCTCTCTCCTCTGCCATAGCTTCTTTCCACTTACGATCAGTGAGTGCTTCCTTCTAATACTGAGGAATAGAGATAGAGGACAAAGACGAAACAAAGGCACGATATGATGAAGATAAGGAGTCATATGACACAAATTTAGAAATAGGATGTTAAGTACAAGTTCTAACACCTTTTCTACTAGCAATAGGAAGATTTGAATCATCAACACGAATAGTAGGAGAAGTAACCAAAGACTCATTACTTGAGGATTCCATAAAAGAATTAGGAACTGGAGTCGGAGGTGATAATTTGCATGGCGACACATAGGTCGACTGTTCTCTCTGTCGCCAAGAGTAGGTCTGAAGATCAGGTCTATCCAACCTACTAGACTCCTTCCGAACACAATCTGGTCTATCCAACATACTAGACTCCCCCCTGAACACAATCTGGTTTATCGAACCTATTAGACTCCCCCTAAACACACTTACTCATATCCTTCTCACAATACGGCGCCTCCTTCCCCTCACAACAAATAGTAGAGAATAATGGACCAGAAGAAACAATCTCTTCCATTGAAGAAACCTCCCTCTGAAGAGATTGGTCCCTGAAGAACGACTCAAGACTCACAAAAGGTGACATCCATGGTAATATAAGTTTTTCGAGAGTGAGGATCATAGCACTTGTAGCCTTTCTAGGTGGAGTAACCAATGAAGACACACCGAAGAGCCTTGGGGTCCAGTTTGGTCCCAAGTACGACGAGAAATGTGAACAAAGCAAACACGACCAAACACTTTAGGAGGAAGGGAATGAGGGGGTACAAGCATAGGAGGAAGGAGAGTAAGGGGTGCTGAAACTGGAGGACTCTAGAAGGCATACGGTTAATGAGATACGCGGCAGTGAAAACAACACCACCCCAGAATGGTTTATGAACCCACATCGTGAACATAAGGGCACGAGCAACTACAAAAAGATGACGGTTTTTGCGTTCAACAACTCCGTTCTATTCGGGAGTGCCAACACAACTGGTTTGATAAAGAATAGCATGAGCCTCAAGATATGCTCAAAATTCACCCACAACTGGTTTGATAAAGAATACCATGAGCCTCAAGATATGCTCAACATTCACCATCAATTTAGTCAGTATCATTATCACTTCAAAGTACTTTAATGTCGATGTCAAATTGAGTATGAACCATCTTATGAAATGTTTGAGAGCAAGAAAAGACCTCACTTTTGGTGCGAAGCAAGTAAACCCTAGTGACACAAGAATAACAGTCAATAAAAGTAACAAACTAACAATAACTAGACACAGACAGAACACGAGATCTATGAAGCACGGACACCTCTCCGAAGGCAGTGTATGGGTGTCCGACACGTGTCAAGCACTGACACGGACACGCGTCGGACACACAATGGACACATGTTGGACACTCTACCTAACGTGTCCCCCCCTTTTTTTTTTTTTTTTGAATTTTTCCAGCTGGACACGCTTGGACACGTTGTGGACACGTTAGAGACAGAGAGAGAAACCCTAACTCGTTGAATACAAAGAGAGAGAAACCCCAACTCATTGAATACAAATAGATAAAAACCCTAACTAATTGAATACAAAGAGAGAGAGAGAGAGAGAGAGAAAGAGAGGGTGAAGAAGAACCTGTTGAAGCCCTAAATCGAGGTATGCTCTTCGAATCTGTCTTCATTTATTCAAATTTGTTATTCTTCTTCGTTTTTCTTCTTCTTCCGTTCGTCTCTCCGTGATTCGTCTCTCTCTCGCTTTCGACTTTGTCTCTTGCTTGTGTTGAACTCATCAATTCTACCTCTTCGACTCTCTCTTCTTTCTGCGCGATCATCTCTCTCCCTCTCTCCTCTTCTCTATTCTATTCTTTTTGTTGTTTCCCTCTGTCCCTGATATTATATATATATATATTAACAAAAAAAAAACACCCTTTTTTTTTCTTTCCTCTCTCTTCTTTTTTTCTATTTTTTGAGTATTCTTATTTGTTCAACTTAAACATACATAAAATAAATTGTTTTTATTTGTAGGAAAAAATTAATTTGTAAATGAAATTTGATATTAAAATAAATAAATAAATAATATATGTTTTTTAATTTTACATGTAATAAATAAATAAAATTATATATATTAAGCGTGTCCCTAGCGTGTCATGTCCCCATTTTTTGAAAATTTGCGTGCCCGCGTGTTTGTGTCGTGTCCGTGTCCCGTGTCTGTGAATCATAGCACGAGATGGACCCCATACCTCAGAATGAATAACCATAAATGGAAACAAACTTCTCTTATTAATTGAAGGATAACAAGATCTTTTATGTTTGGCAAACTCACAAAATCACAATGAAAATTATTTCTGACACAATCCTTCACTAAATTAGGAAAAAGTTTATTCGAAACTGAAATAGAGGGACGGCCTAAACACCGATGCCACTAATGTAATAGAGAAAGAGATGAAGTGTTGGTTGTCTGAAGAGCTTGACTGGCGATAGAAAATCCACCCTTCAGAAAATACAATCCCCAATGTACTTTACCACTACCAATCGTTCTCCCCGTATCTAGTTCCTTAAAAACACAATGAAAAGGGAAAAAAAGTTACAGAACAATTTAAGAAATTGGTAATACAACTGATAGACAGTAAATTAGTAGAAAATTTGGGAACATGAAGAACAGAGGAGAGAGAAATAGAGGGAGAACAATGAATAGAACCGGTCTCAGACACAGAAGATAAAGACCCATCAGCCACTCTTACTTTATCCTTGCCAGAACAAGGAGAGCAAGAGTGGAAAATAGTGGACAAAGCTATCATATGATCAGTAGCACTGGAGTCAATAATCCAAGGAAATGAAGAGACAGCACTCAAGGCATGTGTAGGAGTACTTGTAGAAACAAAGTTGGAGGAAGGAGGATCAGAAGTAGGCACACCGACCCATCAAACGCCGAAGAGTATGTAACTAATCATGGGAAAAAGCAGCGGGATCACCCAAAGGACTAGTAGAGGATTCTGACAGGTGTGCATGAGAGCGAACAGTCCCACCGCGGCCACTAGTACCACCACGGCGACTACCTCTCCCACGGTTACGTCAACCATGTAACTTCCATCAGTGTTCCCGATCATGAAGTTCTTTCCCACAATAATCACAGATAATGTAAGAAAAATTGATGTATTATTGATTGATTTTGATGTATTACAAGATTGATTTTATTCTGTATATTACAATTCCTATATATAGAGGAGAAGATGGTAGTGGAGTGTGTGATAGTGGAGGTGGATGGTAGTGGAGTGTGTGATAGTGGAGGTGGTAGGTGTGGAGAAAGATAGTGGAGGTAGTAGGTGAGTAGTAAATTCTAACAGATAATCTGATCACGAGCACTAGAAGAACGAACCAGAAAAGAGAACAGAAGATTACCTCTTCACAGTTTTGATACCAAGTTAAAATTATAAGAACAAGTTTAAGATTGAGAGGAGAGAGGAGAAAAATAAAAGAGAGAATTCTTATTGGGAAGAGGCACAAAACCTTAGATTAGGTTTTCCCTCTATAACAATATCTATTTATACTAATCAAATAATTACATATAGACATATTACCCTTCATCTAACTTAACAACAACCACTGCACTTAGAGAGATCACTACATACTACTTTACCCAACAACCCATATTGAGCCGACAACTTTAAACGCTAACTAGACAAATGACCTAACCTAGCATGCCACAAGAAAAAAAAACAAAAAAAAGGACCCGAATTTTGATCTAGACAAAATGAAGATAAAGTTAATGAAGACGACAAAACTGGGATATGAAGACTTTCTACCATATAGATATGTCGAACTCTACACCCGATCCCAATCTGCTTCCTAGACTCCCGATCCTAAGCAACACAAGCGGAAGAGGAAAAAATAACATCAAAACCAAAGGCAGCAAGTTGACTAATAGAGAGTAAGCTAATAGACAACTGAGGAACATAAAAATATATATATATATATATGTGGTAAAGATAAAGGTGAAGAAGATCAAGGATAGAGCCAATAAATAAAACAAGCATCTGAGAACCATTGGCAGTACTAACAATGATAAGAGAGGGAGGAGAAACACAATTATGTAAAAGAGATAAGTGGGGAGTCATATGGTGGGAACAACCAAAATCAAAGAGCCAAACTGTGGAGGAAATACCAATCGCAAAACCAAACTAACCAGAGTGAGTAGTGGTCATTATAGATGCAGATGAGAGGATCATAGAACAGGATGCCATCATGGTCTAAAAATGATGTAGCTGCTCACGCATAGACTGCATCTCGAATGGAGAAGGATGATCGGATGTAGAAGTAACAAAAGCAGCCGGAGGGTGAAAGGTACTTTGGGTGGGTGGACGGAACACTGTCTGAGAAGGCAGAGCAAGCTGGCGACCTTTCTTAGGACAATTATACTTCCAGTGACATTTCTGATGGCAAAAGGCACACTCATCCATGGCAAGGTGAGACTTCAGTTCCCTAGTGACTTGAATGAGATGTCTAGATGGGGTAGGCAATTGTGAGGATTGCTGAGAAGCAACAAAAACAGACGGAGAGGTAATCCCATTGTGAGCAACCTTAAAGCGAGTCTCCTCAACAATAAGTTCGAGCACCACTCCGTCAACTGATGGCAAGAGTGAACGATGAAGAATCGTCCCGAAGTGCCATCGAAAACTAAGCAAGCCTTTGCTTCTCCCTGTAGTGAATATAGCTATCCCCGCAAACCAGGTGAGAACTTGAGCATTCTCTATATCCCATTTCGATACAGCTGCAGCAAAGCCACTTGACCTTACTATCAGTTGATCAAGGTGTTAAGTCAAATACCCTAGGCGACCACGACCAAGGACAAAATTTCTGAAAACAGTGGACCAACACGAGCACCATATCATCAGACATGATGCAATTACGAATGAAGTTGGGGTGAAACATGTAAATATTGAAAAGAGTGATTCTTTAACCAATTATTCAACACACAAATCAACAAGTCCAATAATTAATATAGCAGAAGAAAACAAAATCAGTTACCAGCACAGAGAAGAGAGACAGCAAAGAGATCAGACAGAGAAGCCAGAGAACTGAACCAGAGGAGTTCGTTTGTCAACAGGCCAGTGGAGAAGACCACTTTGATTACAAACAAATCTGAGGGACCAGACATACGAATTAGAGAAGTCAACTTCAAAGATCAAATCAGGAGTTCACACAAACAGGTCGAAGACTATGTCATGCAGGTCGCGAGTTGGAAACGGAGAACCGAACGATGATTCAGAGTTTTTGGAAAAGGAACCAAAAATTCAGAGTCTTCGGCTCTAGGGTTCAGGCAAGGTTGCAATCCCAACAACTTCGGCGCTAGGGTTCCAGCAGTGGCAGTGGCAGTGGCAGTGGCAGCGGCTCTAATACCATGTAAATATTCTCAACAGCAAAGTGATATGTTATTTCTGAATGTGATTACAAGGCTATTGAAACTCTTAAATAGAGATACACCAAAGCAAAATACGAAACAATGAAAAAGGAAACTTACAGCCTAATTACAATGATAATGATTCTAATACTAAAAATATAATATATGTTCATAGTTTTCATATGAAATAGTGTAACTAAATTATTGAGAAAATAATCTTCCTTCAGATAAAGTTGGAAGAAATGTTAAAGGTAACTCACTTTATTCTGATTGAAGTATAAAAGAATGAACAACGAGATCCCAAAAACCATATCTGACCATATATTAGCAAATGCTTTACGGTTCTCTAACCTCCATTCATCTTGCAACTCCAACCTGTTAGAGCAACAAACAGGACACTAAATTGAAATAAACATTTCGAAAATCAAGTGCATGATGCAAAATTCAGTCAGTGAGAGTCAGGCACATGGAGACTTTCCGAAGGATACTGTATAACAAAACATAACCAGTGGTAGCACACCTAGTAAGGAAATGTAAGAAAATAATATACTTGCCAGCATTTTACTACTTTAGTGGGACATTTAACACATCAACCTTGAACTAAGAAATCGGGAGAAAAGGGCATTTCCAAATAACAAATTTTATCAAGACAACGTCCCAAGACAAATAATCATCAACAGCTAAACATAGAAGTGGTGGCAAATGGCTGGCTACACTGTTGTAACAAGGAACAAAATTTCATTTTTTTTTGTTTCCCATGGAAACAGACAAAATGTTTCCAATTCCTAAGAAAGTGACAAGAACCATTAGTAGAAAACTAAATTCTAACATTTCCATCGAAATATAATGGAACACTCTGAAACTCATCGAAAGGACTATGAACCACAGTGAAACAATGATTTGTTTAGACAGAAATCAGGATCCCCAAACAAGATAATTTTGTTTTCCACTTTTTGTCTTCAAAAATAAAAGAAGAAAAAAGAAAATGTTTGAAATTTAATTACGAAAATGAGAAAGTATAATTGAGAAAGGGGATAAAGAGAGAAACAAATGACGTGGTTGAGTCATTTATTCACTTGCATTGTTATCACGAGGACCTTCTTATGTTTTTTGTTCCCTATTACTCCTAAAATCTAGCCTTTCTTATTTTTTCTCTTACAATGGAAAAGCCAACTCCTCAACCCAACCATTTCGATGTTTTTGTCTTTTAATATTTGTTGATCTTTGTTGAACATTATCCTTAACCTTATTAAAAGATCCTTTTAATCTTGTTAGCAATCTCTACCTAAGTCACCTAATTTGTATAACTGGGTCGGCGGACTGCACTCTGAAATGCGGATCCACAGATTTGGTAACAATTCAAGTTAAATATGCAAGTTCAAGTGCTCAAACTGCGAGTTCTATACGAATTCAAATTAACTAACTAATTTGTGCCAGAAGTGCAACATTTAATGCTGGTATACATGCTTATTAAAGCGAAAGCACGAGCAATATGAGCTTAGATGGCTCAGTCGCTGCCATGTGCACACATTGGTTACACAACTCAATCCTGTGAGCCTTAAATAAAAACAAAAGACTTGAAGCTTCGCATCATCTATCGATGTGGGAATTGGGATTGCACAACATAGGAAAGCAGAAGGCTTTTATAGTTGATACTTGGAACTTCTATTTTCCACCGATGTGGGATTGCCAAAGATTTTTTTAAACCATAATTATATATGTAATGTAAAATATACATGTGTAGACGCTTTGAAGGTGCTTTCGCTCTAAAGGCATTTTTACAGAAGGCGCTCTCACACCCACTCACGCTCCACAAATTGTTGACTTAGCTCTCTACCCCTTGAAACCCCTTTCACATTCGAAACCTCCTCCTCCACAGGACATCAGTTCAGCTGGCAATTGCAAGGGAAGTTTTCAAAATTCAAGACGTCAAACTGCTGTATTAGCAATGCCATTGCTTCCACGGTTTGCGAAAACATATCCTCTGTTTGAGCATCTTGTGTTCTACTCACAGGCCATGGTTAGGACTCGAGTGATAGCTCTGATACCAACTGACGCAAGGAAGCATGTATGGAATAAACACTCGCAATTAGAAAACCACAAACAAAATAAAAAGAGATACTCTCTCAAAACAATTGTATTATTGATCACCAAGAGTTTTTCTATAGAACTTTCCTTTTAGTCTAATGGGTACTGAGTTATCGCACAGTAAACCAAACACACTCCTCCACTTAAGCCATCCCACCTTAATTCTATGGATCACATTTGCTCCGATCTCCCTATCCGTTGTGATAATCGATCATAAATAACGAAAATGTTTACTCTTAGGTAATTTTTGGCTCTCAATCATAGGTGCATCATTAATATGCAAAAAAGATATACGAATATTATATATATTATTTTAAAATTAATATTTGATTTGTAAATCTTACATTTTTATTTTTATTAAATTTTGACTAGGATTATAATATTTAGTTCTTTTTTATGTGTTTCTTTTTCTACAAGAATATTTTTTCCCCTTATTTATTTTTCTTGATTAGCCAGCATTAATTATTTTCATTTTTAGGCATTCTTAATTAACAAGAATTGCCAAGTCAGTTTTTTCCAAGCTTGTTTTACAAGTAGTAGTTTATTATAAATACCTATGTATGCATTAGAACAAATAAGTTTTTGGCGATTAATAATACAACATCTAAGAGAAAGTATCTCGTCTATTTGTCTGTGGCTTTTTTTGTTGCAAGTGTTCATCCCATACATGCTTGCCTACATTAGTTGGTATAAGAGCCTGCGCTCGAGTCCTGATCATGGCACCAAGAGAAGTAGGTATGCTTCTAATGAAGAGATGTATAATAGAGATGATGCTACACAAGATGCTCAATTAAATGATAGATGTCAACGGATTGAGGATACACTTGGAACATTGGCCAACCAAGTGGTCGCCTTGGCTGTTGCTAATCGACCTTGCAAACGTCTAGTAAGCCTACATGCTCAAGAGAAGGGAAATGTTTTGGATGATATTACCACAAACCGTTTCACAAGGCCAAAAGAAGGGGGTTAAGGGAGTTATGGCTACAGTTGAGTGGCCATTCACATCAAAAATGATTTCAAACCCAATTGTGGATTAGAGCAAGTCATCCATTTTTTATGGAGAACAAGTTGAACTTAATGAAGTTATAGATGAAGATTGCAAGAAAATTATTTTGATTGAAGGTTGTCATACAATTTACCATTATGAAGATCCATTATATTTTATGAATCCCAGCTCACCGTTTTTATGGTTTATCAAAAAGTTAACTATGGGTCACTTTATTTTGACTCAACTGACTGATTGGATAGATGTTGTAAAACTGAAAAAATTCAAAGTCCGTCAACAAAATTCCAAGCTTTATCGTTGTAAGAAGATTAGAGCAGATATTGCATATCTCACTTTTAGAATTCGTGGACAAATTCTTTTCAAGTGAAGGAGAATGATGCAGCCACGATTTGAGGCTATGATTTGGGGATTTGACACATACAAGATTTTAGGAATATTATATTATATTGTTATTAATTTAAAATTAATATTTGATTAGGAAATCTTATCAAAATTCCGAGCTTTGTTGTCGTAAGAAGATTAGAGCAGATATTGCATATCTCACTTTTAGAATTCGAGGAAGAATTCTTTTCAATTGAAGGAGAATGATGCAGCCACAATTTGAGGCTATGATTTGGGGATTTGACGCATACAAGATTTTTGGAATGTTATTTATATTTTTATTAATTTAAAATTAATATTTGATTAGGAAATCTTATGTTTTAATTTTTATTATATTTTTACTAGGATTAGAATCTTTAGTTTTCCTTTTTTATATGTTTCTTTTTCTACATGAATTGTCTTTCCATTATTCGTTTTCCTTGATTAGCAGTAATATATATGTTTCCTTTTAGGCATTCTTGATAGCAAGAATTGCTAAGTTGGTTATTTTCTAGCTTGCTCTACAAGTATTAGTTTAGTATAAATACTTATGTACGTATTAGAGCAAAAAAGCTTTTGGTGATTAATAATACAATTTTTGACAGAGGGTATCTCTTGTTTATTTTGTTCATGGTTTGTTATTGTGAGTGTTCATTCCATACACACTTTCCTGCATCTGAATGAGACTTTCATATTAATTCGGTCAAATGCGGAGAGAAAATACATTCTGACTAGAAACTGATACAATGATGACATTAGAGAGTATTATTGGTTCCACATTTCTCTGTGTCAATGTGTTCAAGGGAAGCTAACTATTCTCTCATTCTCTAGAAATGCCGGTCAAAATGAATCTATTTCCATATATAAGTAGTTCTATTCATGTACTGTGAAAGTTACTCCATTATAATCATTACAACATTACCCTTATGAACAAGAAATGTTAATCAAAAAGATTATGAACAACATTGCACGTTACCTTTGTGAACAAGAAATATTAATCAAAAATATTATGAACAACTGACAAATGAGCACCAAACATTGTTAATCTTACGCTTTATGCCGTAACTCCAACCAAAGCTCCTCATCGGAAAGAGGTGGAGATTTTCCGATTTCTACCTCAAGCCGGAACCTTGCTTTTTCTAGTTTTAATTCCTTAACCATTTCCAGCTTTTGATGTCTTCTCACGTCAAGCATCTCGGCTGCAAGTGGTACAGTCTTCACGTACCTGCTCAAGCCATTAGGGTCAGCTGATCCATAGTTTCAATAGTAGGATTTCAAGTACACTCATCACCATTAACAAAGTACAGGGTACCTATAAGAAAAGCTTTGCAGATATCAATCAGCGTGTTTGGTTTGAGTTTTTTAGATTAAGTTTTTTAATTTTCGTATTTTTTTGTTTTTAGTGAATATTTTAAAATTTTTAAACATTTTTTTTACTTTTTTAGATGCACCTTACTTAGATGTATCTAAAAAGTAAAAAATTTGTGAAAAAATATTTTAAAAAATTAATAAATACATAAAAATACAAAAAATGTACTGAATTCTTGTATTTTTTTTGTATTTTTGGTATTTAGTGAATTTTTTAAAGGTTTTTTTTACAATTTTTTTACTCTTTAGGTGTATTTATGTTAGGTGTGTCTAAAAAGTAAAAAAAAAAAATTTGTTTAAAATATTAAAAAAATTCAGTAAAAACAAAAAAACACGAAAAATAAGAGAGTAGAATTTTCTGAAAAGTGATTTTTGAAAAATGAAAACAAGCAAGGTGAATATGCTTTGCTTTTACAGGTCTTTGGGTGGCTTCTAGAGAAATTTTATGGAGGAATAGCATTAACTGATGTGCAGCTTACACATTTCCTAGAGCAATGAAATTTTTACATATTAAAGAAATTAGTATTCTCTCCGAAAGAGAGGAAGGCATTCAAACTTAAAATACTTCGTAGAGGATATGTACTCAACTACAACAACAAAAACAAGGGAATGAGGAAAAGAGGATGTGAGTAAGTGAATTTGATTAGAAGCAAGCCACAGAATTTCTAGTACAAAACTGAGTAATTTTACAGCATATTTGGAAGCATGAGAAGTGCATCTGTTAGGAAAGGAGCAAAAATGGAACTAGTGGGAGCATGGATGATGTGTTTTAGCATAAAAGTATACAAAAGGGAGGGAAAAAAAGAAAATTAGATTTGGTGATCATAGAACATTTAATCACTTGGGTAGGAGTGGCCTAAAGAGAGAGGGAAAGGGAGGGAGAGCTCAAAATACTCCCAAATAATCATTCCAATTTTTTCAATTGAATGTGGGTTTTCATTTTTGAACATAGATGACCATCCATCTATAGATACTATAAGCTTTAAGAGTTTAAAACACACAAAGACCTTCAAAATCAATTCTATCCAGCACACTAATCAACCATCAAATCTTTCAAACAAAGGAGATAAAGAAAACTGTCAAGACAATAAAATACAGAAAAATTCTAGACAATCTCCTCATATCTCTCAACAAACAAGAGCCCAATTGAGCCAAAAGCATTGTGTCACAATGATTACCTGTCCAAAAAAGGCATGAGAACATAGTCATGAACCAAAAAATCCAAGGCCCATGGTATAGTTACCAATACTGCCAAAAATTTTGCCTGTAACAAGGATGAATATGGTTTAGGCGAAAAATCATGCATTTCACCAGAGCAACCAAATCTAAACCATAAGACCCAAACTACTAAAAACAGAATTATATACTACTCATCAAGACTCGAGGGTTTCCAAAAAATCAAAAGCCGAACATGTCATGTATACCTCAGTGAGCTCATAATTAAGTCCAACATAATGAAATAACGCACATCAATTGTGCCAGACTATTGAATTTAAACTAACGTTACTTCACACGAGATTGTTTTGTACAGTGAACGTAAAATAGTTACAGGCTTGTAAATACATTGCTCTATAGTTGAATGTGCAGAGGTATTTTTAATGCATTACTGATTCCCTTTAACAAGTTGAACATACATAAATGAAACTGAATATAATTTACATGCATAATTTTTCTATTTAGTTTTGAAGATATGCTATATTGAATTCAAATAATAGAATTTATATGTACCAATATAAGTTGACAGAACAAAATGCCGATGCCCGAAAAACGAAGACGAATTTTCACTCCCAAACCAGCAATTAGAAAAGAGAGTTCACCCCTAGGCGCAAAGAAGGGGTGTGCTCTCGTTCCCCATTTTATGCGTCTTAGTTGACTATGCACAAAGTTTAAAAGAAGCAATCTTTGAATGATAAATTAAAAAAATGTCCTTTGTCTATTTGAACAATTTTTTTGGCATTTGTGATTGTATTTAAACATAAATGTAAAGAACGGTAATATGGTAAAGTGATAAAAGGTTAAACTTTTCAAACTAGGACACATAAAAAGGAACTTCCAAACCAAGGAAAGACACATATTACGGGGTAGAAAACGTATTTCCATCAAAAGAAGAGGACCAAGGGGGGGAAAAGGAGGAAAATTTGGTGAAACATTAAATTCAAACTATTAGGATAAAAGTATAGAGTGTACTCTGACATGCATTTAAATTGCAAATCATGAGAATATGCATTTTCTAATAAACTTTGTTCTCAACACAAAATCTTTGATCACTTAACCACATTAAACAACAAAAAAATTATATCAACAATGATTGGCAAACAATATTATGACCGTGTAATCCAAGGGTGATCGCCACCCCTACAATTTCAATAAACCTTTTTAATACACTATTTTTAGCTATTAATTACCTCCAAACTATATAGGTTCACACCTCTGGTTTTTTTTTTTTTTTTTTTTCAAAAGTAAGTATTGGGTGTTTGGTGCGGCTATTAAAATAGATTATAGATTATAACTTTAATCAGGGTTTGTTAATTTGTTTGGTGCAGTGTTGGATTGTATATTTAAGTTGTTGAGTAGTGTTTGGTAAATAAGCTACGAAATAGCTTTTTGATGGGTAAATGTCATTTTTACCCTTATTAATTGTAAATTGAATTAATCTTTGTTAGTTGTAAATTGAATTAACTTTTATTTTTTGTTATTCACTACTAGCCCACACTTCTCATAAAAATAAAATATAAAAATTAATGCACAGTCCATTTGGGTCATTTTTCTATTTTCACAAACCAAAAATAATAATAATTTCTAAGGGTACAATCGTAAATTAACATGCCCACATCGAAGCTGATAATCAAAAGCAGGAGGTGAGCAGCTTCTCAGAATCCACTTTTTTGGGTTAAAATAAGTTGCTAAAATTAGAAGCTGTTTCAAATAATATTAACCAAACAATCCAAAATAAATTTTCCAAAGCTAGAATCTATAAGTTGCCTAAAAAAAGCAACACCAAACACACTTTTTATGTCTATACATAATATATACTATAATTAATACATCAACTTAATAGTTTATTTTGAAAAAAATATATATTTAAGTTTCACAATATTTAGGTGTTATTCAATTAGGTGACTAAGTCCAACACAACAATAATTACTTAAAACTCCTTAATTAAGCTTGTTACACAGTCTTGGGTAAAACTCACCCCAAAAGCTAGCTATTAAGGTGAGGGTGCCCTCACACTTATATGGTTAACATTACTTTAGTATTCAAGTCATGTAGGACTTTGCTTCACACCCTCCCTCATGCCCAGAGTGCTCACTTGGCAGCACTTGCAGCGTACAGGACAGAAACACGCACCCTACCCATCCCTGAATACTCCAACTCTGATACCATGTTACACGATCATGGGTAGAACTCACCCCAAAAGCTAGCTATTAAGGTGAGGATGCCCTCCTACTTATATGCTTAATATTACTTTAGTATCCAGGCAATGTGGGACTTCGCTTCACAAAACTATGTGTATAGAGTAATAAAATAATCACTAGATTATGTCATTAATATAAGAAACCATATTTGTAACTCAATGTGAATTTATTATATATTTTGATGGTAAAAAATGATGTTGCAACTCACATATATATATATATATATATTAAATTTATATAGTATATATTTCTCCCCAAGTTAGAATTTTGGATCCGTCCTTGTTAGGAGGTACCGCTAACATTAACGATTGTTGATGGTATTCTAGTCGATTCTTTTGTGCACTCCTAATTCCAACTATCGAATTAAATGAATAGAAGCTAAGAAACCAGAATCACATACTTCATTGTGATAAGTAAATGAAATGATAGCTTGCTGACAAAGGGTGTGTGTGGGAGTACTTTGTTTGATGACAACAGTAAAGGCAATTGATAGCATCTTTTTTTGAACTATTGGGTGGGGGCATCTAGAGGAAGACAACATGGGGCAAAGTAAAGGGCAAAGCTTTAGATGACTTGTTAAGAGTTGTTGAAAAGAATAAAGTCACTTGAAGATCCTCTGGTGCACCCTGGCCGAGTGGTCCTCACCTATACAAGCAAGTAGATTAACTCCCTCATTCTCTTATCATGCAGGTAGTCCTAGGTGGGTGAGGTAAGGTTAGATTAGAGGGAGGGGGATTGTGAATGTCCATCCCATGAAACGCCAGGGAACCATACATTCCTCCCGGGCTGGGCTCTCGTGTGTCCGTACAAGTTAATAACATATGCATTGAAAAATAAAAAATAAAAACAAGTCACGGATGCTTCTCTTAAAAGATAAATGGCTTTCCAAAATGTCAATGCTTTTGATGATTCTTATTATTTTTAGTCTAAACCATTGGCTAGTGTTATCCTACTAATGTGGGGCATAGGGAGAGTCGAATTTGTAGAGATTTAATCTCCTCAATAATTTGCGCATACTGTTGTCCTTAGACTTAGACCCATGTTTCATGCCTAATAGCCTAAGCCTCTGCTACAGCACTAAGCAATAGCCCCATATACTTCAACTGAAACTCCTCCAGGAAACTTTCCCCAAGGCTGCCAACAATTGGAATTATGATGGGTTTTGCCTATGAAAAGTTGATAGGATTAGGGTTCTATAACATAGAAGAAGGCTTCTAAGGTTTCTAGATGAAAAAATAGTTTTTAATTTGGTTTCAAAAGTGAATCACTAATTTTTCAAAACAAAGGCAATTTGAGGGCCTTAGCAGCCCATTTGGATTGGGGGTTTCGTGAGAAAAGAAAATAAATGAAGAGAGAGAGATCTATCATCACTTGTTTGGATCATTAAGGAGATGAGAAATTTTGAGAAATGGTGAGAAAGAGAAATCCTTTAAAACTAAAGTTTTGTTTCTCACCAAAAGTGGTGAGATTTGGTGAGAAACTAAAATTACTCATTATAAAAAATTTATAATACCTAAATTACCCCTCTAAATACAAAGTGAATAAAATAAAATGACACGTCCCCTCTTTTATTTCTTATTCACCCAAACAAGATTGTGAGAAATCACAATCATTTCTTTTCTTTTATCCCCTAGGCGAGAAACTATAATAATTTATTTTCATTTCTCACCTCACATTCCAAACGGTTTAGGGTTTTATTGTTAATCAATGCCCTAAAAAGTAAGCAATTTGAATGCCTAAACAGTAAGTGGAATTACATAGGGATTGTTTAGTTGTGTTTTGTTTTTTAATTTTATCTTTTGAAAATACAAACTTGCTTGCTGAACTGTTTCCGAATTTTTTTTTTTTGTAAATTTTTCTGAAACAACTCACTTTTTAGGAAACACCGAAAGGTCGTATTCAAAATTTCAAAAACAAAAATGAAAATGATTGGTGTTTTTTGAACTTGCTATTGTTTTGTTTATGAGAACACGAAAAACAAAAACGAAAACAAGGAAAACACAACCAAACAGAGAAATAAATTTCAATTCTATGCTATTATTTTCTTTTAAGAGTATTTATCCTATTTTCCTCTCTCGCGTATGACATGTGCAGTGACTGGCTAGTTTCTTTTCATGCTCCTGCTCAATTTTGAACTCATTGGTTACGAGTAATGTTATGTCATAGGCAGGCCGCATCGCACCTAACATACCATTCAATCCAGTTGTAAGGCCCAATTTCATGTTCTATAGCCATTCTGTAACGTGTTGTTACCGTTTACTATATATTGCGAAAAACCAAACTGTTAGTCCTTCCAAATTTCCACAGTTTTGTTTAGTATTTTAATTTTTTTTAATATGTCATATGTGAGATATGATTCAAGGCTAGGAGTTAAATGCATGACAAAATGAAGTCAATTTGGTATTGGGTTGAAGTTAAAAAGGCTTCAAGTAACATTTGTCCCCTTGGAAGATATGCTCTTTGTTCACGTTTACTTTTATTTTAAAGATTATGAGTGATTTATACATCTATTTCAAGATTGATAATTTTTACTACAAACCCAAGGTACCGATTTTTTTCTATTTTCTCTTTTTATCACAATAGTAGAAATATAGAAGACGGGTTGAAATTGCAATGCACATAATACAAATTAAGTAGGCCAAAATAAACTAGATAACAACAGCGCAACCTGCTGCATAGGCAGTAGATATCTCGCTAAGAATGCTGAAAACAAAAATAATCATATCCTTACCAGCTTGAATCAAAGTGCAAATGAACTTACCGAATTTAATGAAGCATATCGAAAAACACGATCCTCATATAGCATGTCATCTTCTTCCTTCCCCAAGACTAAATCCCTCACAGACTTGACCAATCCTCTCTGAGGAATCATCTCACTAGGATCTGCCATTACATCCTCTCTGGATTTTCCAAGTCCATTGTTCCAATCTTGATCCCATGATGAAGTGTCAAAATCATTTGTCTCCTCCACAAGCCAATCTTCCCACCGACGATTTTCTTGGTTCCTCATATCATCCTGTGCTTCCCTTAATTCAATAATTGCCTCAGCTCTCCTCTTCCAAGCTTCAAACTTTTCACCTTCCGACAACTCTTCCTGACTTGAGCTATCAGAATTATCTTCCTCAAGCATATCCTCATCCTTCAAACCAAGCCAATTGCCGTCGTCCTCAAAAAAGAACTTCCACCAATTTCTCTTCCTTGAATAGCTGTTCTTCGCATTGGGAGGGAACCCACGTAGCCGCCTTCTTCCACCACTCGACTGAACCACAATTTTCGATGAATTGTGTGGATACGAGGACTTACGAGACTCACTTGGATCAAAAAAGATCAAGTTTGCGCATAAGACCAATGAAGTGCTCATTAAGATTAAGAATATGGACAGAGACCCACATTTTTTAGCCTCATAAAGTAGCAAAGTCAGTAAAAACTCTGCTCACAACAACAAAAACAAATGCGATATCCTATCTAAAGAAAATTCAACGTTTTTATCCACAAAATCGAAGATGTTCCTCCTATGAAAGCACTAAAAGTAGCCAAAAATTCACAAAACACAACAAAACCCTAAACCCATGTCGGTGAAACCCATGTACAGAAAGAAAGAAAGAAAAAGAGAGGGTAGAAGAAGAAGTGTACGCTCTGATCTGAAAAGCCGTGCGTGTGGGTTGTTTTCTTCAAGCCATTTGATAATCTCTATCTATCAATCTCTCTATCTACCTGCTTGAGCTTCGAACTGTCAGTGGTTGGGCCAACTGACACCAGGACCTTTAGCTGGAGAGGATAACGGTTTTCATCGCCGCTTTCGATTTTTATTTTTGTTTTTATTTTATTAAATTACAAATAAACATGCGAGATTTGATTAAAATACAAATTTCTCTGTGATTTTGAAAATTACATTTCACTTTTAAAGTTTTTAATTTCATAACAAATCGTTCATTTTATTAATAAATTATCAAATCAATTAACAATTTTTAATGATATTAAAAATATGTTTCAATTAATAATTCAGATAATTTTATTATTATATAAAAAAATAATTATGAATTTTATTTTTTTAATTAATTATGTTAAATAAAAAATTTTAATAAGGAGATATTTATAATTTTTCAAACCACATAAGACAATTTATATTTTAAGCAAACTCCAAAGGTGTATTTGTAATTTACTCTTTTATTTTTATTTTAATCACTAGTAAAATTTAGGAAAAATTACAAATATACCCCTTGAGTTTGATTAAAATATAAATTACCCTTATAGTTCTGGAAATTACATTTCATCCCCTAAGGTTTATAATTTCATAACAAATCACTCATTTTATTAATAATTCATCAAGTCAATTAAGAGTTTTTAATGATGTTATAAATATGTTTCAATTAATAATTTAAGTAATTTTATTATTGTATAGGAGAGCAATTATAAATTTCATTTTTTTAGTTAATTCTATTAAATAAAAAATTTTAACAATGCAGTATTTGTAATTCTTCACACTACAAAGGACAATTTGTATTTTAAGTAAATCTCAGGGGATGTATTTGTAATTTATCCTAAAATTAATATTAGACAAATCCTTTTAATTTTAAAATTAGGGTGAAGTATCAATAAATTTTAAAAAGTGATTGGTTTCACTTTTAGTGTGAATTATATAATAGGCCAAGTATAAATGTGTATGTGTTATGTGTTCAAGGATAAATATAGATTTTCTCATAATATTGAAATTATTAAACGTAACAATTCAAAAAAACTCCTTCGTATACTTTTCTCAAACATAATACTCCAATGTAACACATTACAAAACTTCTTAGTGTTACTTTTCTCAAACGTAACAATGTAACATTCTACAAAAACTCATTAGTGTACTTTTCTTAAACGTAACACTTCAATCAATATAACACAAAAACTCCTTATACTTTTCTTAAACGTAACACTTCAATGTAATACACTAAAAAATTCCTTAGTATAGTTTTTTCAAATATAATAACGTAACGTTTCAAAAAAAAATTCATTAGTATATTTTTTTCAAACATAACACTCCGATTAATGTAACACAAAAATTCGTTAGTGTACTTTTTTCTAAAAATAGCACTATGATGCAACACTCCAATGTAACACCAGAAAACCACATTAACAGAAATATAAATTTCCACATTCGACAACCAACACTTCAGCCACTAATCCCCCAAAAAGAATCTTCCACACCTCACATTTTCATTCTCGTCCCAAAAATGAATCAGAAAATTAAAAAAATAAATCACAAAAAGGCATTCACTTAAACTCAAATGGCACTAAATCAAACAAAAAAGAACTAATTGATTCATAAGAAAAATCTTACAACTAAATAGACCAACATCCCTCCATAAAAAAATTTATAAGTAAATTTTTCCTAAAATTATGGTCTTTTATCACCTTGCACCTCAACTAAATTACATTTTGTCCTTTTAATCTTATGACTCTCAGTTCCAAAAAAAAAAAAAAAATGAAAAAAAAAAAAAAAAAAAAACAACTTATTAATCTTAATTTTCTATTAACATTCAGTTATTAAAATTAAAAAAAAAGAAAGAAAAAAAAAGGAGGAAGTTATTCATGCTAATTTTATGACCAAAATGTTCATCGAAAGTCAATTTAAGACCCTAATGTTTAAATTATTTTCTTAAAGCCCCTCGGTTGCTTGAATTAATTCGAATCTTGTCGGTTAGCATTATCATTTTATTTTTATCAAAACAGGAATTTTCCTAGCCGAATTAGGTTACCAAACCTAATTTAATTCTACATAAGTTACATGTATTTAACTCCAAGCCCCCACCCTTTAATTAAATTCAAAACTTACCGCAAACTACTTGTACCTTGTACCTTGAAGTACCATCAATCTTGTAATATATATATATACATGTATACACCTTGGAGAGTGTGTCCTAGAGCCAAAAATTGATAAAATAATAACCCTATCACCCTTCCCAAGGGCCGGCCACCATAGGGAGAAGTGAGGAACCATTTTCAAAGTCTTTGATCATGATATTCTAGGAAATCCAAGACCTAGTACCCTAGACCTAGGATGGTGTTTCCAACACTAGTTTCCTTTCAACTAGGAGCCAACCAAATGTTGACTAATCCTATGATTTAACTCCCAAATCACTTCTATCCCATTAGATTCCAAGCAAGATCCTAACATTTCCATCCTTTTCCAACTAGAGGGCTTTTAGGACATTTTATCTAAAAATTTGCCTATAAATACCAACCTCTCCTAAGCTTGGCAAGCACAAATAACACACACACACACAAATTCAGCTAGAGAGAGGGAGGAGAGCAAGAGAGAGAAGTCTAGAAGAGAAGAAGGAGGAAGAAGAGAGCTTCTTGTGCAAAACTTAGTAGGTAAGCCACAAACACAACCTTCTCTTTCATTTTCCCTTTTTTTTCAATACATATTTCTAAGGGTTCTAAATAATGTTTTCAAATATTTTATTACTGAGTTCTTATGTTAAAAATGCTAAGGGTTGAGTATTGATTTTATCTCTCTTGTATTTTCTCCATTTTGGCACAAAACCATCTTCTTTTGTACCAATCTCTCGACTTTTCAAGAGCACTCCTTCAAAAAAAAATTATGAGTTAAATATGTGATAGTTAGTATATTTTCTTCACAAAAGAAATGAAACTTTCCCTTGGTGGAACCCCTTTTTCATAAATCTTCTTGTTTTTGGTAAAGCACCTTAGAATCTGTTTTTTCAGCCCACTTCCAGAAATTCTATAAAAATGTCCAAAATTATTTTGACCTCTATTTTATGTCAAAACCTTCCTTAAGGAGTTAGCTTTCAACTAAAATTGGTTTCATCGAAAAACATTAAGCGGTTTGCAAGAAAATCAATTTTTCGTAACGGTCGACGGATCTGGACAACACCGGCATATTTTCTAAATAACTTAGAACCTGGAAAAGCAACTGTCATGACCCGAACCCACCCCTATGGGTTAAGGACATGACCGAGCAGTAATCCTGAGATTACCTACAGCCTCCAACCAAAACAAACGTAACTCAATGGAGTAAAGGGGCCAAACGGAAGCAATAATTAAAAACTTTGTCCATAGAGCCGTGCTTATATGCACTTCAAAACATACCATACACATATACGTTAATAACCCACAACAAAGTACAGTACCATGAAATCCTTTACAGACAGGATCAGCTAAGCTAAGTCAACCCATAACAAAACTATATACAGATATACACAAGTCCTCGCCAACAAGACAAAATATAAATACATAACAAAAGTAGCGAAGTCTGGTCTCGTGCGTGAGACGCAAGGCTGACTCTCCAAAACTCATGTTGTTCCTAGCAGACTTCACTGGGGCTGCGTTTGGACTTCTCTTGGCTCACCTACAAACACATAAATGAGCGTGAGCAATAGCCTAGTGAATAATATCAAATACAGAAATTACATAATAATGTAGAACAACATGTTCCAAACGGCCTTGGGCCCAATTCATATTTCTATTTAACAGGTATATAACTATACAAAAACCAAATTAAGTGGCAGTAGTTCCAAACATTATGGTCCTTGGCCACTTCAGATTTCTATTCATGTCAAAACGGCCTTCGGCTCAATCATTTATGTCAAAACGGCCTTCGGCCCATTCATTTCTGTCAAAATGGCCTTCGGCCCATTCATTTATGTCAAAACAGCCTTCGGCCCATACATTCGTGTCAAACGGCCTTCGGCCCGCTCATTCATGTCGAAATGACCTTAGGTCCATTCATATATATCAAAATGACCTTCGGTCCACTCATTTCTATCAGAACGACCTTCGATCCATTCATTTCTGTCAAAACGACCTTCGGTCCATTCATTTGTATCAAAACGACTTTAGGTCCATTAATTTCTATCAAAACGACCTTAGGTCCATTTATTTATATCAAAACGACCTTAGGTCCATTTATTCGTTCATGTCAAACTTTTGTCCACAATCCCATTTAGCAACTCATAAAGCTTTTAAGGGAATAACCAATTGGACATTGACAAGCTATCAATTATCGATATTACTCACAGTGATCAGCTTGTGGATTTGCCCTAGAGCTTGACCCTACACATTTCATGAACACAAAAGGGTCACTAACAGTTCAATCTGTTCTTCAATTCACATATTCCTCTTTAGGCTTTATTCTTATCTCATTAACTCATTTACAATGTTTAACACATGCCTAAGAGTGGTTACAAGTGAAAGAGAATAGAAAACGAAACACAGAATGTATGAACAAAATTTCAGAAAACAGAGTCCCCGCTCGAGCGGACCCAAAAGGCCTGCAAAAGTACTGGTTACTTCAAAATTACGCTTGAGCGTGAGTTAGGGCGCTCGAGCGGAAGGCCTGTCTACAAAAGCTCCCCGCTCGAGCGTGAAATATCCCGCTTGAGCGAACATCCAACTCTGCAAAAAGTGCTGGGAGCACGATTTTCCCGCTCGAGCGGCAGTCACCCCGCTCGAGCGGACATCAAAAATCTGGGTTTTTCAGATTAAGTTCTTGAGCTCCAATTCAATTTTTAACCAACAAATCATGCATGTTATGGCCCAATTCCCAAATATAATCATACCAACATGATGTAAACCCCAAATCACAACCCAATGGAGCTCAATTCACAAATAATTCACATGCATGCCCCAATCTCCCATCAAACTCATCACTAATACATCTCATTCAAGCATGCAAAGCTCACCCTTTCATGATCTACTCTTGCATGTAAGAAATACACATTATTCACAACTTATTTGGTGAAGAAATGGTCATGCACATGGATTTCATTCAAACTTCTACAT